TTGCAGTGCCCAAAAATGTTTCTTAAAGTACCCAGATTTAATTTGCTGAGGGCTTTCGCAGGCGTGTACTTTTGATCTCTTCGCCTTTATCTTTAAAATGGCCGCGAATGTTAAAGCTGTGAAGAACACCTTTACTGGTTCCTTGATTGTTACATCCTGCGCGAATGAGATAAGCATCGAAGACAGCCACTGTTCACTGACACTCTTTTCCCAAACTAGACTGTAGAAAATTGAAAACGCAGCTGAAACAGTACAAGAAAAAAACAACAAACACCAAGCGATACCAGAGATCAGGGTACCTTTAAGACAATAGTCATTGTTCGTGGAAGACTTTCCAGCTCCTTTCTGAAACAGAAACACTGTAAAAATGTTTATGGGTGTCACAACAAGTGCGCTTTCGATTCCAGTTACCACTTGTCTCCACGACATTTTCAGCGGTCCGACTTGGATAGGCTGTTCATATTTGCCCTCTAACTTGTAGAACATCGCGTTAGCAAACATAGATGTCAAAAGCACTGAGAGGCAGCAAGACAGCCGCTGTACTCTTGTAAAGCGGCTTTTTCTCAGCTTGGCTGCTACTGAAATCCAAATATGCGACTCCGCAAGGCCTCTTCGCCAACGTCTTGCAACTTCATTGCCAAAATCTAAATTATTTGAGGTCTGGTCGATTACTCGCTCGATGCACCCATCTCCGCGCTCAAGAGCAAACCACTTATTAACCATGAATTTCCACGACTGCTTCGATTGTACGTCCCGAATCAGGATTTCTTCTAGGTACCACGAGGGACTATCTCCAAAATTATCATGTCCAATCTGCACTCCTTGAATCGCACCAAGTGATTTGTTAACATAAAGTACAAAAACATCTGAATTACCTCGTGAGAATAACGTATTCACTGCACCAGGTTCTTCTTGGCTAAGCTGAAGAATGCCACTCTTTCCATCAGAACCGTAAATCTCCAAAGCAACATGAGCAGTCGTGCCTGAGTTTTTCCAAGCCCCTGAAGTAATCACTATATTATATTCATAGGTGCAGCTTGAAGATGATGGAAGTTGGATCGGTAATTCCCTCTAAAAAAAAGAGATAAAGCTGATTTATATTCTTAATTCTTTTTTTTTTTGTTCCATTCCAAAAACTTCATTTTTTAAAGCCTTTTTTTTTCCTTAACACTTTAACTCCCAGGGGTGATCAACATGCAACTTCTCCCAAAAATATCCGTACATTATCTAGGTAACAGGTCATGAGAATACTCAAAATTATCAGGTAGATTTTGTTATCTTGATCAATTATCAAATTGTCATGACTTATTTGCAAAAAAATGTATAGCAACCGGAGGGAGATTTCACAGCAAGATCATGGGAGTGAAGTGGTTAAACTGGAGAGCATGCTCCGTTAAAACAACAATCCTAAGCAAAATCTGACTCTACACTCACATTTTTCGCGTCTTCCTCGTCGAATTTCCTTACGATAATAATCACAGTCACATAACATAATAGAATCACCGCAATAACCACAATAACTGCGATATTTCCAGTTTCTGATAACTGTTGGAACTCGACTAAAACCTTGTCGAAGTCAATGGGATTCGGTTCAACTAAGAGACTTCCCCCAAATGACGTCAAGTGGCTACAGCTACAGTTTAAAAATCCATCTGATTCTGCTAAAACCTGAAATTATAAAGGCAAGGAAGATCTTAATGATAAAAATTATCATTTTGGCTGTCACCATAAATCACACCGCATCTTTTTTGTTTTAAGGCGCTTCTATACCACGGCTGGCTATCAAATCGATTCGACTTTTGTCTGAAAATGTTCTCTAATCAAAGATTAGCCTGAATTCAATGATAAGCTTAATGAGTGAAGATTATTGCAGTACCACAGCACTTTTACAAACATTACTCAGGAAAGCTCAAATTATCCGAATTGTGTTGAATACGATGTTAAATTAGATAAAAAAAAGATTACGCTGAAAATCTTTATTTAATTTTCACTTACTCGGCAACCAGATGATATCCACATGTCACTTGTTTCTGACCAGTAAACACAACTACCCAAGGTCACCTTCAGAGTGTAGTTCTGGTCTGTTGTGGAATCATAAACAGGCATCACAGGGACATTTTCACTCTGGGGTGGGGCGGGTTGTGGATCTTTGACTTCGACGCAGGAGCGCTTCCTTCGCCTTCCACCAATACAAGATCTTTTCTCCCTTGTGTGAGATAAGTTCACTGTGGCATTATAATTTTTTAAGCCGAGTAAGTATTTCCCAGGACGCTCAGCCAGAACTTGTATCGGTGCATGTGGATTCAAGGAGCAGACCGTTTGTCCGTTACTTTTGCCATGTGTGCTTATCATCCAAACACATTTTTCGTCATGAGAGATAGTAGCATTGAAGTCGTAGTTTTGAGTTGTCGGTCGCTGACCAAAACGCATATAGACAAACAGATGTACGGTTGGATCTTGAGGTTTGATTTCCAGCATCAGCAGGGTGTTTTCATACTTGACGTTTATCTCGTGGAAACGTAGATCATCGTTCTTTGTGAAATACCATGACTTTTCTGAAGCAGAGATTTTCTGAAGTTTTAAAGGCGTAACGATAACAATGTCTTCCGTGAGATTCGATACTTTAATAGGCTCGCTGTCATTATTTTTCAAGTGCAGGCTTACAACATCAGAGCCAACTCGTTCCTTGGTGCCGTCCCAAGTGTAAGGGTTGAAAGAAAATGAGAGCATCTGAAAGAGAAATAATTAAGTATTTTGCTTGTTTGTTTTTGTGGACTGCTATAGTTGAACTCGTAAACAGGGTACTCCGTCTTACTATTAATCTTAAGTTATCATAAGTTGGGTTCAAAATAAAACTGGAAATATATTTGGAAAACAACAAAAAATAAATAACATTGATGTGGTCACTTCGATCACATGATTCGATTCTCTTTTGCTGCCCAAGTGCCAGAGTTGAACACGTCAAAAGCAAAACAAGAAATATGATTGCTGGAGGTAATAAGCAACCTTTAAGTGCTATTTTAACTTGACTGGTGTCGGTATCAGCAAAAAAAAACTTGGATTGAAATTTGCCTGAAGGGCAGGAATACTTACCTGAACATTTACAAAACTTGTTTTGTTTACTCCAGAGAGTAACAATTGGCTTTTAGACGGTAAAATAAACCGGCCTTTTCCTGCTTTTATTTTCAGTCCTGAAAGTCTATGAAGGCTGTATCTTCCGAGTGTCATGGATAGTTGTCCTGCCGTGAATGATATCGTTCTTTCATCAGGTACTGTCAAGGCCAACACTGAGTCTGCAACTTTCTCGAGGGTCTTCATTGAAATCTTCACCAGTAGTTTACCCTGTACAAATTGCATAAATAACCATATCATGTAAGCAAATTATGGATTTTCGCAAGCTTAAAACAAACATACATAGAAACAAACCATAAAAGGTTCAAAATCTGAATGAATAAGGGAGTATCGGTTAAGTTTAAAGCAATCTGCGATGGACCATTTGCTAATGAATAAAGTCTAATGATTATGCTTGTATGTATAATTACGTTTTAAAAGGTCTATTTAATTTGTAGAATCTTGGACATCACCTAAATGTACATTAAAGTACCTGTTGTTGAAAACTTGACTTGGAGTCTTCTGATGCAGTCACTGCTGCTACCTTCAACACGGTATTAAGACATGAAGCCAAGTTTTCTGCTGATTGCTTTGTCAGCGATATGTCTGCTACGTCTCGTTTCTGGGCGATAGACCATAGGAGTGACGTCATTGAACTGATAGCAGATAAGGAGAAATTCTGTGGAGTGCAAATAAATATAAATGAAGCTAAAAATGCTTACTTTCAGATTTCTTTCCATTACCTTTGTAGAGCTAATTTGTGGCGAATTATTTAAAGTGATTACAAAATTATAGACTGCTTCATTTGATAACACAACAGTTGCTTGTTTTTCATGCTTGTTTGTTTCCGTTTTCTTCGTCTTTGCTGTTGTGGTTATTTCTGTTGTTTCTGTAGCCTTTCTGGCTAAATAGTATCATGGTATTAAAACTTGACGTAACAACCAAGGCTATTCCAGCCCCAATCAGTACTTCACTTACCAGAGACTGGTGGGGCACTTCCTCCAGAACCTGAAGAGCAGAATCGATAACCGAAGATTTTCGGAGAAGGTCTGTGGCAGTTTTCGCGTCCAAGGGCGAAATGTTTTCAAGGATGTAGTTCATAACCTTGAACAACGATAAAGCTTAACGTTATTTAAGCCAGTAGAGAAATAGGCAAACAGACTGTATCCCTCATATTAGGCTCGTTCCAAGGATAATACATCTAAAGGCATACTTAAATTCAACGTATCAGGTTCCTCAATGACATTGCTAATAAAACCCATCAAAATGATAAATTTGCAAGCGCATGATTGATTCGCATGCATCAAAACACCGATAATGTCCAAGCTGAAATAATGGATTGCCTGGCGATTTCCGCCCTTGAACAAAATTTGAAGCCTCATTTTCAAGACGTTGTAAGTCTTAGTTTGAGATTTAATTCAAGGCTCTAGAGCCTTCTTTACTCGTCACAACGGAAGACGGAATTGTTTGCTTACACAATGAGCCCGCCAGAATAATGGAAAGTGAACATCTAACGCGGTAGCCACGACTTTCGCGCTGCAAAAATATCAGCTATTTGACAGACAAGCCTCTATTTTTCTCAAAAATATGTTCATATATTTAATGTATTATATTTGTCCGTTTTCGAGAGTTGATTTATTATTATCATTATTATTATTATTATCATCATTATAATTATACTTCTTAATACAAATTCTTTATTCTTTTTTTTTTTTTTTGTATGTTTAGCTCTCGGTAAACTCTTTACTTTTCGGGTACGATCGTAATTAACTAGTTTTGTTTCACTTTTTAAGGAACAAGTTGCGTTTTAAAAGTACGTACCTTGTATCTCTCCTGAAAACCCATTGAGGTTTCTTGTGAAACTGATCGCAGGAATGAGTTTGCTATTAGCGCCGCTTCTTTCAGGTTTCCGATCTCGATGAATTTCTGAAATGTACTGCCCTTTGCCATTAGAAGGCTTCTGTTCTGAGATGGCTTGATCTGCAAAAGTCAAAAGCAGGTATCTATAATTAACTATAACTGATCTATTACTAATAGGGACCAAAAGAAATAAAAATTTTCTCACATCCTTTCATGGTAGACATTAATAGCGACTTACCTGAACTGTCAAAGAGATTAGGGAGGTAGAAATTCCAAAATTGTCAGTCACTGTAGCGATAACTTTGACAGTAAAATTATCTGTATTGTTCCCAGGTGGTATCCATGAGGTACTTATGTTGTTGTTAACGCCACGATATAACACACTGTACAACCCGTTCTCTAGCCTGTACTGAAACAGGTACGACAGAGGGGTGTTGTCACTTCTCCAGTTGCTACAGCTCAGATTGAAATCGGTCTTCAGTGAGATGCCGCTTGGCGGAGTGATCGAGCAGTTACCACCTGTAGGGGGTCTTGCGGTAGAAAAATCGTAAGCACTCACTCCCCATAAACCGTCCGTAATTGTTATGAATAGTGCCAAGCGGTACATATTTCCACCAGTAAGGGAACCTCCTTTGATAACAATGTCACTTGAATTCAGCGGTGTACTTGTGACGAGTCGTAAATTATGTTTCCTTTGCCAAGTAAAGGAGGTGTTTCGCTTGAAATGCTGGTAGAGCCTCCACTTATAGGATGATATTTTAGAGCACTGTAATCCGCGACATTGTGATTTGATACTAAGTTTGACCAAGGGACTCACTTTAGGTTGACAGTTAAAGAAACATCTAAAATTAAGAAGAAAGATTAGACGAACACCTTGTGAAGAAGGGGTTTTGAACTTCCTTTGTCTGATGAGATCATGTAATTAAGAAGAACAGCTGCAGCAGTGGCCGCAATTTAATTAACATTGATATGAACAACTGCTAATAAAGTAGCTACAACAACAGTAATAACCAAAACGACAATGAAAACAATAACATTATCATTAATAGCAACAACAAAGTATAAAAAATGACGGCAGTAGAAACAACGAAAATTAACAAAACCAGAAGCAAAACATTGGACGACAGAAGCATCATTAGCGAAAATAAAGAGAAATAGCAGGGTCAAGAACAAATGTAAGTGTTAACAACGGCAACAAAACCAACGGTAAAACAAACCAAACAAAAGGACGTAAAGACAGCAGAGTGGCAATAATTCTTAATAAAGAAACCACAACTAACCAAAAAAACCAACAAACAAACACCAAACAAACTAAATAACGACAGAAACAAACAAAGTAGATCCCTAACCTTTGATATATTTCTGGGGGGTCTCCTTCTATCAAATGGATAACCTGATAAACGGTGGAAATACGACTGTCCTTGGTCACTACCAATTTAACTATGTAGGTCTGATTAACAGACAAAGCTTTGGCGTTTAAGGAAATTTGTTCGCCAGATGCTTTTCCATAATAATGAATGGCAGACTCGTTTACTGCCGTGAAGACATCTTTCTCCACTTTCGCCTCCGTTTTTTTGCTGGAGGGATTTCCTGCGACTTTGCCATAATGCCAGGTGAATTTCATTCCTAATCGGTTGCCATGTGCAACTTCTGGGTCATATGACAGAGAAGCATTCAATGTGATGTTTCTGAGGAGCCCTCTTGTTACTTCTGCGCCACCGGAAATGACCGCCACAAGGTCAATTCTTTTGCCAACTAAAAACAAGCAAACTTAGATTAGTTACAGAAAAAGCGAGTTTCTGTTGTTATAAGTTTAACTCTGTTTAAAATTGTTTTGTTATGTCGTTGACATGGTAGAACTTTTTACCGTTTGTTTTCACCAAACCCTCAATGTATAATAAATGTAGGCATTGGGAACCATTTAGAGCTGTTTTAAAATTGAAAGAAAAATCAGCAATCACCCCAGGGGAGGGCGGAGGGGGAAGGGGGAACTGATAGGGTCTGGAACCTAGGGAGATCAACACGCATGCTAATCAGCGGTCAGAAAACCTAAGTAGATGTTCCTGATGTTTTGAACGGATTGTCCAGGATACAAAATCTTTTCTTCTTCCGATGACATGTATGATGTCTGTAATGGTTGAAATGCTATTTTTTAGTGCGTCACGGTTCTCTGGTTTTAGAAAATGGGCCAAAATCGAAAGAAACGACGGCAAACGAGTTTCTCCATGGATAGATGGTGCAATGGTCAGCGAAACAACACGTCAGAATAGTATGCGCTTCTCTTACATCTTCTCTTGATGTCGTCATGTAATACTGTTTACCCCACCGATTTTTCTCTAACGTGTCAAAATCTTCTGGTAAGCATGTAAAATTCAAGAGAAAAGTTATTTTCAATTCGTTTTTAAACCTCTTATTTTTTAAATTCTTCTCTTTCGACTACTCGTATTTCATTAATGTCAGCCTACAGCTGTAATTGCATACGTTAGTAATTTACGAAAGATAACCCACTTCACATCATCACGCGTTATTATCTAACAAAGCAATTGGATATATATATATATATATATATATATATATATAAATATTATGAGAGGAAAAAAGGACGTAACTACATTTCCCGACAAGCCTGTTTCGTGAATCGCTTCACTCTTCAGGGGTTTTAAACCCCTGAAGAGTGAAGCGATTCACGAAACAGGCTTGTCGGGAAATGTAGTTACGTCCTTTTTTCCTCTCATAATATTTATTCTGCTCTGCTTCAACGTATTGAGCACTGTTCCACGCGAAAATCGACTTGCAGACTTCCTATATATATATATATATATATATCTAATCTGTCTATCTGTCTATTGATTTGGCCTGATGAGTGGGCAACCACGAAACAGGTCTGTAGGGATGAACTTGTAGGTAATTTGTCTTTTTCGTTCCACAATATATACATCGCTCTACTCCTACGTATTGCACACTGTTTTACGAAAGTCAAAATTTAACACTTCATATATATATATATATAAACAAACAAAAACAAAACAAAAAACTTACTCTTCGAAATCTCACAAACAAAAGCGAGCCAGTTTTCCTTAATTCTACTATCAGCACTACCAAACACGCCCCGTTCGCCATTACTGGACCGCTTGTATATGAAAGCCGCGTCGTATTTACCACTTGGCTCCCCTTGTCCCCATTTGCAAATAATCAGCGGTCTTCCACTCACCCAGGTCCAATTTCCGGCAATTTTTTTTAAACCAACACTCCATTTATTTTGATAGTGCGCAGCATTCCGCTTTTGAATCTCGTTATTGATGAAATTCCATTCCTCTTCGGTTTCAATGGAAACTAGGTCCCCTCCTTGTCTTTGGCAAGCACCTCTGTTCGAGCGCCAGGACTCTCCACTTAACGAAATTATGTACGAAGAGTGTTTAAAAGTTAAATTCGGGCATTCTACAAAATGATAAAAATGGAAACAAAAATATCAATTATCATAGTGATGATAAAGAAATCGATAATTATAATAACGATGATAACATGAAAAGATCATAATCATAATCACAATAAAGGATAAAAAAATGAGATAGAAAACACGACTTTTATTTGATTTCTGTATTTTTAACATCTGCAGTTTATGTTTGATCAGTGCCGATGAAAACAATATATCTTTCTTCTCTACGGCGTTAGCCATCTCTGACCTGCTTTTCTGAATTAGCTAACTTCACATCAGCTAAGATTATCTGTGAGTTCATGTAGTTTTGGTAGTCGAGTTTGTAGATATCAATTTTTTCCTCGTTGAGCTGACACAACACAGACCTCTCACCCGGTGAATTACGGATTTATCACTGACTCGTACGGGAGACACACCAACCAATACTTCGATGCGTTATGTTCTAGAGAACATGGATTCACTTACTGACCTCAGTGAACACCCCTTGTTACTTGTAGCAAGGTAAAATTCCTTTGGCTAGATTATCCCAATCGCAGCTCGCTCGACAAAAGTGGTGAAAAGTACAATTTCGATCGCGGTTTTCCAGCTGCAGGCGATGCAAAAAAGGACAATTCTAGAGTGATCAAATTATTTTTCGTAACACGTGTCCTAGAAATCTTCATGGCATTGTGGTCATTTACTAATGTGCGCTTAAAAGTTTGTTCATAGCTCACGCGTACAAGTTAGGTGAGCTGAGCATATTCTGTGAACATTATTTTTATTTTCAAGAAGCAAGAACAATTTTCATGACAAAAGTGTAAGACTGTAATGTTTCAGCACATAATAAACTTTATGGTTGGAATGTGATCTTACCTCCGGGCATCTCGCAAATGAAGGCGTTTTTATAAGAGCAAGGGATACCACTAAAGAGGCCTCCATTCCTGGATATTTCCGCGCAATCGTCGTTACCATCTGGCTCAGAATCTCGCCATTTCGAAATATTCAGCTGTTCTCCACTCTTCCAAATCCAAACCCCGCCTCTCTTCCATAAACCAATGTGCCATGCACTAGTATTCCAAGTACCACGCTTTTTAATCTCATGACTGATAAATTGCCATTCTTCTTCAGTTTCGATAGAGACTAAGGAACCTCCCTGGAACAAGCAGTCAAACCAGTTGTAAACATTCTCTCTTCCGCTTTTCGAAAATGTGTAAAAGGAGTTTTTGAAACAAGTTGCTTGGCACTCTGTGAGAAAAAGTAAATGAATGAAAAAACGAATGAAAAAAAAAGTACTGACGATAACAGTAATGATAACTCTAATGATGGAGACGAGAAAGTATCCACCAAGCCTCACTGAAGGAAAAAATAGAATTAGGATAGATTTTAAAGATGGACATTAGGGAGATCAGGTAATAGCACCTTTATTCTTTTAATTTTTTTGTTTTGTTTTCCAATTACGTTTTGAATCTCAAACAGATATAGTTCTAACAGGAATTCTATGACTAATTATTATGATAAATCAGTCAGGTATTATCTATTTTTTTCCAGTTCATTTTAAGGTGCACAAATATGAAATTGGGATGACACTGCCTCACCTGTTCCTGATATTTCCATCATCAAATAAAGGATGACTGTTGGAGAGAAATTGAGCAAATAAATTGATTGTTGTCTCAAGAATAACATTTGAAACAATGAAAAAGTTAGTAAGATTTCGAAGTAGACCAGTACTAATACATTTCATTTCTTACATGCTCTTTATCATACACCCATGAATTTTGTTAACTTCCCTAGGGAGTTGAAGGAAAAATTTTTGAAATGTAGCATTTCTGCAAGATATAAGAAGATACATGAAGACTTGAGGTAAAACGTTAAGTGACCGAACAGACCCTAACTAAGAATGGCAAATTCCTAGTGATATTCCCCTGTTGTGATTCTAGCGCTAATTCAACGAGTTTGATTGTTTTCCCGCCGTAACAGAAAAAGAGGCAAACTTTTTCCTTGGTACGGTCGAGCACTGCCAACGAACACTGAAAAGTCACGAAGAAAACGTCATCGACGTCAAGATATTGAGATATATTGCAAAAATTTTACAGTTTATTTATCTCCTTAGAAACAATTTGGTTTCCTGGAGGCTGAAAGATAACAGTAAATAAGTCCCTAAGAGAGTAATTACACAAAAGGAATTACCTTGTGGCCAGTTTTGTTTTTCTGCAACCTCTTTGATGTTCGCTAACCTTTGAGGATTTTTTTGTCATTTTTTATTATTATTATTATTATTATTATTATAATCGTTCAAAGGTCAAGTATCAATTAAATATATATTTCTAATTTTAAAAATGTTTTGTCCTCGGAAAACGATCAAATATTTTTTGGAAAGATATATACAAGTGCATTTTTAAGGCAGTGGGGTTATTATTTGTTTTAATATATCTGACATGAAGAAAAAACAAATACATAATTCAGTGAAAGAGAAAATAAATAAAATGAAAAAAATTACATAAAATAATAACAAGAATAAAACTTGGATGGAAAATACGAATTGCAAATCAATGTAGTCCCTGAGTACACAACTATGCCAGTTGCGTCCTTAAATAACAAGGATGAGTTAATTTAACGATTAACACAATTTTAAGTTTTTAAAGTCCTCCATAGGTAATCTAGACTTATAAACTGAAATGTACACGGCGACTTCATTGAGAAACAAAAGGGCACGAAGACAATGGAAAAAATAAATACCACAAGGCTTTTGTTTTCTCTACTGAAAAGGAATTAATTCCACGTTTAATTGTTTAATTCCATACCAATATTCCAAAATGCTAAAAAGAAAGTTTAGGTACCAGGAACTGGAATGAATGGGAAAATGCAAGATAAAACCGGCCGCATCATGTTTGTTAGGTTCCTTGTGGAAACTTGGCATCATAAGTTATGCCATATATAGAAAGGAATTATATAGTGGACTCGAGTGACACTCCAAGCTTTAACTTTCCCACATTTTTTTGTCTCTTTCTCTTCTTGTTTTGTTTTGTTTTGTTTTGTTTTTGCACGATTGGAACAACTGATGCTTTATCGAACCAAGAACCTCAAGTTAGCTACAGACGGGAGTATAATTGAGATTTCATTTTCTTTGATCTTTGTGATCGCGTGTGGATCGTTAAAACAGAGCAATTATGAATAACAATAACATACAATTAATTCTTAAAACTTCAGGATTGTGTCGTGCTGGTCAGTTGTTTTCAAATTATTTTCGATCGTTTCGTAGCAAAAACTGTATTAAAAAATTGCAAACTCCGCTTTCAGCCAGTAGTTTTATGGGATTAAACTCAAGAGCAGACGTTGTCTAATTCAATCGTTTTGTTATTAGAGAGATGAATACTTGCCACTTGACTTGCTTCTCTTTGGTTTGAAGCGGCCGAGTGCTGCAGGATGCCACGATACCGACATATTGATATCCTATCATTCATTTCCTAATTCATTTTTAATTCATCATCTTCTTTATTTCTAAAGCATAATCAAGAGAATTAGTAAAGCTTGTACTTACTCAGCGCACAACGTAAAGACAGGGCTTTGGACATTTTGCTGGATTTTATCCCACTCATCACATCACCCAACAACTCACTCAATCAGAAGTTGCCGTTGGTATATGTCGACACCCTTATAATGGTCTTATAATAAAATCACAAGAGTGGCAGATTTTAGACAACGTTTTTCAAACTATTCTGCAGGACGTGAGGATAAACATCACATTCGACCGTTTTTTGCCGACATAACCCGCGAAAGTTCAATTTTTCCACTCGTAAACGGACCAAAGAGAAAAATCTCTTGCCAACAGATGCAGTATGCTGTTTTATTTAACAAATACAAGTGATTCACGCCATGAAAACAGTTTCGTCGAGCTAAAGTTTTGTCAACGTGAAGATGAAAATGGGTGGTTAAAACAAGTTTTTAAACAACTCAAAACTAATCAGGTTCCTCTTTTACAGGTAGTTGTTGTTTGGGAGTAAATGTTATGTCCACCGGAAACTAGCGCAAATATGCCATCTGTTCATCCAGGTGCACCCGAACATAGACAACAATCATCGATCCATCAAAAGATAAAAGTGCCTGTTTTAGGCCCGTATAATATTGACTTCGCCGGCAGGAATAATTCAGAAATATATTCGTGCAAGTGTAAGAATGCAAATGAACTACAGAATTTTTCAGGTTAAAAAAATATATACAAATATATATTTGGTTTTTCATTATATCACCTGTTCAATGTGAGTTTTCGTGAGTTTTTGAAGTTGATCATCAACCTTTAACGGATCAGAAAACTAAGTGCGGTTAGCGGGAAATAGTTTAGCCCTAAATCTGCATCATTTCCTTTCTCTCGCTACATAACTTCTTCTTTAGTGCACATTGTGTAATGACTGAGTTCATATCTTTGCAGTATGACTACGTTAAGTTGCCAAAGAAAAACCCTGCCTATTTTCTCAGCTACATGCGCATGTGCTGGAAACTAAATTCATATGAAAAAAGCGCTTGGCAAGCGCGTGACGGCCTTAGAAATTTTATGTTGCGCGTGGCTCAAGAAAAAAATTGGAATTCAAGCTGATGTCAGATATAAAATTACATTCTGCTCAATACAGGAAATTTCGATCGCAACATATTTCAACCTTCTTCTTCCTGCGGACAAGACGTGTCAGGTGTGACGTAATTTGCCACTTCTGATGATCTATATATCTACACAGATGTTCTTATGGGAGACAAGAAGTGGGGCAAGAGTTGCAAAAAAAACCACGCTCATACAGTCACTATTAAATAAAATTTGAACAAATTCCAACATTTCTAGAGATTATCTGGATCGGATATGTTGGCTCTGAGATATTATCTACTATGTAAAACTTAACTCGCTAACATCGAGGATCGAAATGCGCCAATTACAGCTGTGGAAAAAAAAAACCAACCAATTACAGCAGAGCATCCTGCCTTATAACAACACCCCAACCAGTCGACCTTATCGCCTGATGAAGACCAACAGAATGCGATTCACAAATACGGCACCCATTTCTTTTTGTGCAAGATTGTTCAAGCGAAACGTCTGAATAAGTTTTAGTCGACGAACTTGATTGGTTTTTTTCGCGAAAGAGGTCTTACATGGTATCTGTGTTTTTCTCGGGTGACATCTTGTCACTGCAACTTCAGAAGGCAGGTAACTAAGCTATCGTGTTCCTGAAACCCTTCATAATTTTGGTTCAGCTTTTTAAGTTCATTAAAGGACACTCTTCTGTAAACACTAATAATTACATATCCTTCAGTAACAGGCAATCAAGAAAAAGTCATCAGTTTAAACTATATAAACTATTTTGCCGTACAGACATCTTTAAGTACTCTTTTTGGCACAGACATATCGACAACAGTTTACCGTCATCAGTAGTTGAACTTGACTCAATTAATGCTTTTAAGAAAGCTCTTAAATCAACATTTTTTAACTAGGCCTGTAACTAAAAATTAAATTATTCTATGTATTATACATTATTTAGTTATAATCTTAAACAAAATAGTTATCTTAGATATGTCTTCTTTATTTAGATTTTATATTTATATAGATATATGCCTGTATCTAAAATGTTTCAGTATGTATATGTATATTGCATAGTATTAAATTTTTATATCTGGGGTATAGTTTACAATGAGGATTAAGTTCCTCCCTTCTATAACACTTTTTTAATAATAATATGTTATATGTTATTATTTAAATAAAGTTGTTATATATAATATATAATAACATCAAGTTTTTTCATTAAACGTCGATTAAGATCACAAAAATCGTGAATTATAACTACCATTTCGATTTTAAAACCGCAAAACTGTTTTATTGTGTTAAAATGTTTCCAAATCATTCTACGTCTTAACAAAACTAAAAACTACATTTGTAAACAAGTTACAGCATATCTCTTCCTTTTCTGCTCTATTCGTTTATTTTCATTACCTTTGTTATTTTCAAGTATAATTAAACCTGAGAACACACGTTACCAGAGTTCAGGGGTAAGTTTCTAAAGAAACTGTGGTGCTGCGTCGGTGGGAGAGTATAGCAGGTAATTTAGTGTTAACAACTGGATTGAAAACGTAAATTAGCCACCGTAAAGGGTAAAAAAGCTGACGTTTCGAGCGTTAGCCCTTCGTCAGAGCGATAGACGAAGGGCTAACGCTCGAAACGTCAGCTTTTTTACCCTTTACGGTGGCTAATTTACGTTTTCAACCCAGTTGTTAACACTAAATTACCTGCCTTACCAGAGTTCAGTTTGTTTGAACGAGCCCAACAGAGACCACCGATAATATCATCTTATTTCCAGTTGGATTTCGCTTGGGGTTACAGGGTATTCCAATAACGAGATGTTTATGTCTAACCAATCAATATTTACTTAACATTTTTATAGAATAACCACACGATGTATTAGAACTTCAGTTGTACTTACTCAGGGCAGAGTGTAAAAACAGGGCTGTGAACATTTTTCCGGATTGAAGCCCACTCATCGCCCAATTCTTCAATCTTATGATATACAGAAGTTCCCTTAGCAGATGCCAGTATGTTCATGTTATATAGTTCTTCACTTGAAAACAACGCCAATGCGACA